TTATCCCATACTCCTGTTCTAGAGAGTTTCGTCAATGTAGTGGTTTATGAGAATTATTTTCTCTCATTTACAGCCTATAAATAAGATTGTTCATTAATGTGCACTGTCCTGATTAAATAAATAAATAAATAAATAAATAAATAAATAAATAAATAAATAAATAACAGACAGACAGACATTATACCTCCTCTGCCTTTTCAGCAGTAGGAGACCTGCTAATGAAACCAATAATCATACTCCTACATCTTTTCAGAGTTGCTCTCAGTTTAAATCTCCCTCTCGCAGCCATCTTGAGCTGTGACAGTCACATTTTTCTCAGGGTCCGCGCTCTGGAAAACGCTGCTCTTTGGCGTGACTCCTTGCCACGCCTGAGTTGTTGTTCCTGTGGTTGCAGCCGCGCCGAGCCTGCCGGGTCATGTTGAAGCGTTTGTAGCGACAGAGTGGGCGATGAGAGAGGCGCGTTGTTTGTCTGTAAGGCATCATTGAGCAACAGCAGCGATAAATGACCTCAGTCCTAATGTCTGTGTGCRAATGTTTGTTCAGTGAAAAATACAACCAAGTATTGACAGAATTAATCATTAGCTGCTGACACTTTACAGTAAAAGTGCTTTAATCTAGAGACATGTGGATGTCTATAAAGTTAGTAACAGAYGGACTTGCAGCAGATCTGTTTGGTTTAAACTGATTTTAGTGATTTTTAGGTAAGATAATGTAGATAGAATTGACTGTGACGGGAAGTTTGTCAAATGGTATTTGTACACATCATGAAAAGCTTTTTATTAAGAGGAACATCCCCCACCATTTTCAAACATTCAAAGTTGGTTAGCTGTAGTTACTGTATTCAGTTGCACGTAGATGTTCATCAAATAATTTCTTCTGAGCGGTTCATTCAAATCTATTCAATGGTTCTTCTGATATTTAGCTTTCAGACAGGCAGTTGTAAACATAATCACCTGCTTCTTTAACAGCACTGAGTGACAAACGTCGAACGTTGTTAAAATTGTTTTGTTGAAATGTGAAATTGCACAAATCTCCAGCTGAAAGAACAAGTTCTGACAGCTCAGTCGTGATTAGCTGACATTAGTGGAAGCTTCACTTACTTCACTCAAAAACACTCTTTGTCTTTTTTATATTTAATTTGTGTGAAAATGTTTGCAATTAAAACTCATTAACAGGTTTTTTAAAAATTAGTCGCAGACTGACTCGGAGAGAAAGTTATGGAGGGTTAATAGTGATGAAATTAAATAAATAATTATACAATGAAATAAATAAATGTAAATCTCCCAATAAATAAAAAAATGATACACTTAATTATTGAAAGGTATATTTATTTATTTAAAGATGTTTTTCAATAATAAACTAGATACAGCATAGCTGCAACATATATGACCCCCACACATACACAAAGCACCAATGCACCAGAACACAAAATTCACCAGAACAGATTTTTTGGTTTGGGGTCTGGACAGGGTGGGGTGGGGGTGCTCTTTAGTGGACCTGATAGATAGCCCTTCATCAGAGCTAAACAACAAAAACAAATCAGAACCTCCTATGTTGAATAGTTTTTGTATGTCTAGACACGCCCTTTTTCTGATGGAGCCCCCTCCATAAATATGGGGTCTATCATAAAACCATTGGCTGGTGCAGTGTAGGTYGGATTCATCCACATTCCTAACAATTTCTTGCAGACTGTTTCTGTTGACCAAAAGTTACGAAAGAAAATAAAATATGCATCTGGGGGTCATAAATATACATTTATTTCATGATGCATCCGTCCGTCTGTCTGTCTGTCTATTTTCTTCCTCTTATCCGGGGTCGGGTCGCGGGGGCAGCAGCCTAAGCAGAGAGACCCAGACATCCCTCTCCTCAGCCACTTGGACCAGCTCCTCTGGGGGAATCCCAAGGTGTTCCCAGGCCAACCGAGAAACATAGTCCCTCCAGTGTGTCCTGGGTCTTCCTCTGGGTCTCCTCCCAGTGGGACGTGCCCAGAACACCTCACCAGGGAGGTGTCCAGGAGACATCCTAACCAGATGAACCACCTCAACTGGCTCCTCTCGACGTGGAGGAGCAGCGGCTCTACTCTGAGTCCCTCCTGGATGACTGAGCTTCTCACCCTATCTCTAAGGGAGAGCCCAGACACCCTGCGGAGGAAACTCATCTGTGATCTCGTTCTTTCGGACATGACCCAAAGCTCGTGACCATAGATGAGTGTAGGAACGTAGACTGACCGGTAAACTGAGAGCTTCTCCTTCTGGCTCAGCTCTCTCTTCACCACCACAGACCGGTACAGCGTCCGCATCACTGAAGACGCAGCACCAATCCGCCTGTTGATCTCCCGCTCCATTCTTCCCTCATTCAAGAACAAGACCCCGAGATACTTGAACTCCTCCACTTGGGGCAGGACCTCCTCCCTGACCTGGAGACAGCATGCTACCCTTTTCCAGCTCAAGACTATGGTCTCTGATTTGGAGGCACTGATCCTCATCCCGGCTGCTTCACACTCGGCTGTGAACCGCTCCGGTGAGAGCTGGAGATCAGGATCTGATGAAGCATTCATTTATTTAATTTTGGCACGTTTAACTTTCCACTCACACAGGAGCCATGAAATAAACACATAATGAAAAAAATGGTGAAGAAATTACATGAATTTTTAAATTCATGTTTTGAAAATGACAATTATTTCATTTCTATATTTAAAAGGTTTGTTTAAATATTGAATAGCATATTTCATAACTTAATGATATATTTATTAACTATTGAGAGATATACCTAGGGTTGGGCATAATCGTATCGTGTGCAATTATTTTTTGGCACTTGATGACAGTTAATGCCACCAGGCAGACTGACTGGGGATTTCTTCTGTCAGTCCGCTCGGGGCTCCTCTCCACTTCAAATATGACGAACATTAAAAAAAAGTTCTGTAATTTATTTATCAACACCATTTAAAATTTGATGTRTWGCCTGAAGTCTGTGATTTTGACACAATTTGGAACAGATTTTTATGAAGAGCAAATCTTTCCCACTAAATTTGTCATTAGACCAGGACATAAGYGTGTCCAGGGACTCCAGGGGATTAATCGTCAAATTAATCATTATTGGCTAAATACCACAATTAATTGTGATTAATTGTTTGGCCAATATTGCCCTACCCTGTTCATGGCATATTTATTTATTTATTTGTGTCACCATAGGACAGTTACAGTTGATTCTGATTCAAACTCAGCCTGTGGGCGTTTATAGTTGTAAACTGCAGACATGTTGCTGATGTAAATGTGACCTCACCTTGCAGATTCTTTGGTCCCAGCTCAGAATAGTGGACCGGACTGAACGTGCCCAGCTGAGGACGGATCATACCCACAGCACTTTAAATGGTTTCCCTCAGGAATCACTGAAGTGGCTCATTTCCTTCACAGGGACCCGGTCCCGTCACAGCAGCCGTACAGGAAGTGGGTGTCTGAAAATTCGCTCGGGCATGACCAGAATAGAGAAGCTTCTGTTGCCAGGCGCCCGGCACAGGGTCTCCTAGCAACAGCAGCGGCTGCACAGCGTGTGTGCGTGTATCCTGAGCAGGTCTCTGTCTCGCAGAGGACTCATGGAGGTGTTTTATTACCTAATGCACAGAACTGGGCTGTGACGACCGGGTTAAAAACGAAGGCCCCGTCTCTGCAGCGCGGCTGTGTTCAGAATTAATGAGAAGTGTCCTGTGTGACGAGGACACGGGCTGCTTTTTTATCAGGACGTCAGGCTGAGATTATGAGTCTGGCGCCTTGATTCAATTATGTGTCTGCAGCAGTCTGACCTTCACCGTCACCGATGTGCTCGTCACTGCAGCTGCAACGTTTTTAAACCGGTGCTCGGCCGCTCCGACTCGACCTACAGCTCAGCGAGTCGTCCTCTAAAMGGTTTTACTGGACATGAGTTATGTCTCCTTCATAGACAACACATGAGGAGACAATCTTACTTTGTCCAAAGGACACACTGAGGTCACTGCAGTGGAAAACAGCACAGACGTCTGAGTAAGATCTGCAAACTACTATTATATCAAGATGTTTTAACTCTGTTTAATGTTTACTACACAGAGTTGTAAAGTAACAAAGTGCAAATACTTTGTGGAATTTTTGGGTATCTGTATTTGAATACTATTTTTATTCATGTATAATACGATCTCGAGTATAATACAGTCATCATTTTTTGAGCTTAAAAGCATATAGTTTTGCTGCCACACACACACACACACACACACACACA